CTCAGATTCATACTGCACAGACATACCTGACTCAAAACGCCAATATCTCTTTCATCCCGACTCTGAATTGTGTGATTATTTTTTGTTGGAAAGTAGATTTCATGCTCTTTCTAACTCAATTGGATTCACCTTCAAATTCATCCGCAACATTGAGATATTGACGAAACAATGTGACGCTGTAGCAGAATCCGAGTCAAACTACAAGTCCAATGATGTTGCATCATCTCCACATGGGCCCATGGGCCTTGTATGATCTAGGATTGGTTTTAGGATGCCTTGGGACGTCCTCCCACCTCCTTGGCTTCCACCCGTTGATCCTATATAAGTAGATCAATCTAGTAGCTTTTTCCTTGGATTTTATTTAGATTAAAAGTTTGCCATAGCTGCAACTTCGCGTACTTCATTTGTGTTCAATGACCAGACCAAGACGTCACAGAACCCCACTTGATCAATAAAGCTTTCCTCTTTTATTCACAATATCCATATTGCAATTTCAGTTCCTTGCTTGTTCTTCGTTTGCTTGCAAGAAATAGACCTTCGTGGTCAGGTTGATCGTGCTCCCGCGTGGTCAATAACCCTCGGAGTTGGTTACAGATTGCCAAGGCGCGACGTCCTCGCACGTTCGTAATCAGATCGTCAAAGTCTACTCCACCAAAAATGATAGCCGCCATCTCATCGAAAGACGGGACACCTTCGCCTCTATTAGGTTGTCAATCTCCTTGGCGGTTACTTGCAATGATTAAATCTTGTAGTGGTAGATAGATAAATTGCAAAGATAAAATAGAAGAAAATAAAAATTGCAGCAAATATATTTTTGGTTTATATATATGATAAAGGTAGACCCGGTGTCATAGTTTCCACTAGAGGCTTCTCTCTCAAGCACATAACATACAGTGGGTAAATAAATTACTGTTGGACAATTGATAGAAAAGCACATAGTTATGACGATATTAAAGGCAATGATCATGTACATAGGCATCACGTCCCAGACAAGTAGACCGACTCATGCCTGCATCTAGTACTATTACTCCATCCATCGACCACTATTTAGCATGCATTTAGTGTATTAAGTTAATAAAAATAAAGTAACGCCTTAAGCAAGATGACATGATGTAGACAAAGTAAACTTAACTAATACGAATAAAGCCCATCATTTTATCCTTAATGGCAACAATACAAATACGTGTCTTGTCCCTTTCTGTCACTGGGATGTAGAGCACTGCAAGATTGAATCAATCATAAAACACCCCTCCCACTGAAAATAAAACGGATAGATCAGAGAGAAATACAAAGCTATAACAATTATGCATAATAAAGTTAAAAAAAGAATCTATTATTTGTGATGAATATTCAGATCATAAACTCACAATTCATCGGATCCCAGCAAACACAACGCAAAAAGAAGATTGTATCGTATAGATCTCCAAAAACATCGAGGAGAACATGGTATTGAAGATCAAATAGAGAGAAGAAACCATCTAGCTACTAGCAATTGACACGTAGGTCTGTGGCAAACTACTCACACATTGCCAGTAGGGCAGCAAGATTGATGTAAAAGCCCTCCGTGATCGATTCCACCTCTGGGAGAGTACTGGAAAAAGCCTCCAGATGGGATCGTGAATGAACAGACTTGCGGCGGCAGAAAAAGTGTTTCGAGTGGCTCTCTATTGGTTTCCCAATATTTGAGAATTTACAGAAGTGGAATTAGGTCAGACGGAGCCTCGAGGGGCCCACAACGCAACAGGGCGCGGCTCCCCTGGGCGCGCCGGGTTAGCCTTGTTGTCTCCTCGTACATACTTTGGACTCCTCCCGAAGCTTCCATGGTCTCTTATGTCTAGAAAAAATCGTCAAAAGTTTCGTTTGGTATTGATTTTCTGGAAAACCAAAAAAAGCAGAAAACAACAATTGGCACTAAGTTAATAGGTTAGTCCCAAAAATTGGTATAAAATAGCATAATAATGCATATAAAGCATCCAAGATTGACACTATAATAGCATGGAGAAATAAAAAATTATAGAAACATTAGGGACTTATCAAGCATCCCCAAGATTAATTTCTACTCGTTCTCGATACGTAAATGATAAAAACATATTTTTTGATGTGGAATGCTACCCAACATGTTCATCCTGTAATCTCTTTTACGGTATGAATATTAAGAAACGAGTGATTCAAAGAAATAGTCTATAATTTGATATAAAGACATCAATACTTAGGCATACCAATAAACAATCATGCCTTTCAAAATAAAAATGCTAAAGAATACTATCCCCACAAAATCATATAGGCTTGTCATGCTCGATCTTCCTAACAGTATAAATAATGCACAACCCCGATGACAAGCCCAATTGGTTCGTACTTTTTAACACGCTTCAGCTTTTTCAACCCCCACGCAATACATGAGCGCGAGTCATGGATATTGCACTACTGGTGGAATAGAATGCGGTGATAGAGATCAATAAGGGAAAATCAAAAAAGAAGATAGTCTTGCATCAATGCGGCTAATCAACGGGCTATGGATATGCCCATCAATTGATGTCGTTACAAGGAGTAGGAATTGTCATGCAGCGGATGCACTTAGAGCTATAAGTGTATGAAATCTCAAACTGTAAACTAAGTGTGTGTGTGTGTGTGTGTATCCAACTTGCTTGGTCATGAAGACTCGGGTGTTTGAGGAAGTCCATCATCGGAATATACAAGACAAGTTCTATAATGAAAACTTTGCACTAGTATATGAAAGTGACAACTCAGGAGACTCTCTATATGAAAAACATGGTGTTACTTTGAAGCACAAGTGTGGAAAAGGATAATAGCATTGCCCCTTCTATTTTTTTCTCTCATTTTTTTGTTGGGCACTTTTTGGCCTCTTTTTTACATCTGGTTTCTCATCCCAATTTATGGGGAATCACAGTTTGCACCATCCTTTCCTCACTGCCACAATGCTCTCCATCCCGACATGCTCGCGGACAGCAATAAGGGAGCCAGCCATCCAACCCGGTGCACCGAATGTTTGACCTGGTCTTGTTGCATATCGGATCTCCTCCATTTAACATGCATATGTAGATCAATTGCAATTTAGCATATGTAAATATAGAGTGCAAACATATGCAATCATAACCAAAAAGCGTCGGATCTTTGTGGCCGTCGCTCATGTTCATCAATGCCTCCTCCTCATCCACCGTCGTGTTCGGTTGGCACATTCTGGTAAACAGAGACTGGACACCGAAGGGAGAGTGAGCCGACATCCACGAATGGACAAGGGTTGTTGTCTGTGACTGCGACTGAGGCTCCATGAAGTTGTAGTTCATGTTGTGGTGGACGATTAACGACACTTGATGACCGGCGGTGGCTATGGAGGCGGACCGTGGTGGCGAACCGAGCTGCAATGCCACATAGTAGTATGACGGATACAAATGTGCCGGCCAGGGCAGTGGGGATAGCAGGACCTGCAGCTGCCACTTCAAACGTTTGCGCGAAGGTGGTACTGACTTACTGGTCCCCACCGTGCACTGGGATGGACGCCTCGCATGCCCGGTGTCCCTGCCACACCGACTCCAACGCGTCAAGGAGGTGGAGTCGCCATTCCC